GATCCACATCATAACCTAAAGCAGCCACAATGGAAGCAAAGCTGAATCACAACACAAGCTCTATATTGATAATGTTAATTCATAACTCACTCAGTTCAACCCTGGCTGGGGATTACATTCTGAATGAGCATGGGTGAAGGACCAACAACGCACACAGTCATATGTTGGCCACACTTGAAGTGGTCTTCAGGCCAAACAGGATTGAACAGGATTGAAACAATTTGAAAGCCTTCCCTGTTATACATTTGAGATACCAGAACATGCTACCTAAAGGAAGAAGAGGGCGAAAGAGTCGGCAGCATTGGCGTCTCTGCTGGAGACACCGACTCCGATCCAGAAACAGTTGGCGTCGTTGATCTATCCGCCAGCTTTTCAGCGACCTGTTTCAAAAAGTTTGACCGTGAATTCGTTCTTTGGAAACGTTTAGGTGGTGTGCCTTCCCCTTTCACAAGCCTCATAGCATGGCCACTTTCACTGTGCGTACTGTTCACGCTACCAGACCTATCCTTCGTTCTTTGCATTTGTGGTCGTGAGGCCTGTATTTCGGATGCAACGGCTGTTGCTCTTGTTGTTAGTCCTACGGCGGTTGTTAATTTGCGGTGAAATCTTGGTGATTGAGCCGGCGAATCTGATTCTAGTCTCGTCTGTCTTTTAAGCGGCGCTGATGGTAATTTAGCTCCTCTGTTCAAGATAAGAGTTAAAAAAAAAAAAAAACACTTTAATTTCCAAGGAAGTTTTTGAAGTCCTTGGTAAGCGAACATGCGAAAGGGAAATGCAAAGCAGGGCCCACTTCTACTTGGTATCGTACAAACATAGCCCTAGTAATGAAAACCGCCAGTCAGAATAATGAGTACATTTAGAAGAGACAAACATCAAAGAAAACAAAAACTACCAAATGAAAGCGCGGAGAAGAAAAGGTTCCCTCGCTCCACGGGGCGGCAAAATAAGAGACCCTGGGAACGAGGTTGGGGACTGGACTCATCTGTGGAGCTGTACAGGAAGTTACGACTGGCTTCGGTCTTGCATCTAATTGGTTGACAGAGTGGGCGCGTTTTTTTTTTTTTTTCACCATTCACAGACCGTAGTAAATAAACCAATCGATGTCCGAGTGACTCTCCGCAATAAAGCGCAACTTTTTTCGCGAAGAAGACTTTAATACTGCATTGCCTTTAACAGCTTCAGTTACATAATTTACCTCGCTGGTTTACCGCTGCCTGTAAAGCTGTTAGTCCTTGCTTGACTCCGCCCCCTCTGGACATTTCTTGTCTTTTGGGATGGGTGACTTGGCTAATTAGTGAAAAATTCAGTCGCCAAGGAATATATTGCAAAAGCATAATCTGACTTTACAAAATCTTTGATAATTAAAACCAGTCTCCTTTTGTCAGGACATTGGAAAATCGGGTCATGCTTATATGAGATGGCTAGATGATAGAGTTTTTTCACGTTCCATCACTGTGTTCACAAATAAAACTCAAAAAGAGTATTTAGCAATACGCTAAGTGAATTTCAATTCCTAAATTAATGACTTTTCCGCCGGCCACTGTATTT